TGAAAAGTCCCTATCAGTAAATCCAAAAAAGTTTTGGACCTTTCTCAAGAGTAAAAAAGTCAATAGCAATGCGTATCCATCTGCAATGACTTTCGATGATAAGGAAGAAACTTCTGGAACTGGTATTTGTAATCTCTTTGCCTCTTATTTTGCCTCGGTTTACCGGCCAAGCTTGCCTCTCTGCAATGTACCTGATCTAGAATACTCAGTCTCTTGCTTCCTTGGAAGTCTCACCCTTAGGCGGGAGGATGTTCTGAAAACTCTGAAAGGACTAGATAGGAATAAGGGAGCTGGACCAGATGGAATACCCTCGTTGTTTGTAGTTCAATGCTGTGAATCTCTCTCCTTTCCTCTAACAATAATATTTAATGAGTCTTTAATGAATGGCGTATTTCCCTCGATCTGGAAGGAGGCGAGAATTGTTCCAGTTTTTAAGTCGGGAGATTCGGCATCCGTGAAGAACTATAGGGCCATTTCGATACTCTCAGTCTTTGGGAAGGCATTTGAATCGTTGGTTTGCCCGGTCTTGTCCTATCACATAAAGCATTTAATTTCTCCTTGCCAATCAGGATTTTTGGCATCTCGCTCAACGGTAACTAATTTGATCCCGTTTGTGGATTTTGTTTCTATCTCCCTTGATTCCCGTATTACTGTAGACACCATATACACCGACTTTAGTAAGGCTTTCGATTCAGTTGATCACAAAATTTTACTGGGTAAACTTTCTCGTTTGGGTGTGTATGGCAGCCTTCTGGAATGGTTTGAATCCTATCTTTATCAACGCAAGTCGCACGTTGTGGTTAATGGCTACGCATCGCATTCCTTTCAGCCAACTTCCGGCGTTCCACAAGGTTCGCATCTGGGTCCAATCCTCTTTAATATATTTATTAATGATATCGTGGGTATCTTTGATCATGCTGCTTGTTTCCTTTACGCTGATGATATGAAACTGTCTATGCAGATCGGAGGTATTAATGATTCATTGCTATTACAGGAGGATCTAGATCGACTCGCTGGATGGTGTAGGGAGAACAGGTTATATTTAAATACTGAAAAATGTAAATTTATCAGATTTTCGAGATGCAAAACGAATTTGTCGCCGTCCTACAATATTGCCGGTCAAAAATTGCAAGAGGTGGACTCTATTCGCGATTTGGGCGTCATTATGGATAAAAAATTACGTTTTCACAAGCACATTGACCAGGTCGCAACAAAAGGTTTCCAGATGCTAGGGTTTGTGCTGCGGAATGCAATGGAATTCAAAAAGCCCTCAACAAAAGTTCTCCTGTATTTGGCATTGGTTCGTTCGGGTTTGGAATATTGTAGTCAGGTTTGGTCCCCACATTATGAGGTTCATATCAGGCGAATCGAGCGAATACAGAAGAGATTTCTCTGGCACCTATCCTACCAATCTAACAAAGCGAAACTGCTGCCCTCATATAAGGAACGTCTTGCCTATTTTAAAATGACTAGCCTACAAGGGCGAAGATTGTTTTTGGATCAATTGCTTTTTTATAAGATTATCAATGGCCTCATTGACTGCCCTGCGTTATTGCGATCTGTCAATTTTAATATCCCATACAAGTTGCCGCGTTGCGTACGTTACGTTCCATTCTCACCAAAAGGTGCCAAAAGTAGCTTAGGTCACCATGCCACCATGAATCGCTTACAGAGACAGTACAACTTAATATCTAAGTCTTACAACATCGACATCTTTTCTGACAAGCCGTTGAAATTTAGACGCAAGCTCGGTCAGTTTCTCAAGTCAATGGTGTCTGTTTGATTCAAGTATCTATATCTATTGTTTGATTTTTTAACATATAAAAATAATGATTGTTAAATGATGATTAAAATGTTTTAAGTAGTCATTTGCTTAGTGTTAACTAACCTATTTAAGTTTTATTTGCATAGTCCACATTTGCATGCCGTGGCAGCCTATAATTAAGATGACGCTTAGCTTTAGTTTGATATTCATGTTACCTTAAAATCCATGTATTAGTGTTCGTCTTGTTGGTTGTCCTTTTAAATAAATAAAAAAAAAAATAAATAAAAAAAATTATAAGTAATCCAAGGATATTGGAAGTGTTTTAATGATTTTCTGCGTACGGGCGCATGAATGTTAAAGTAATGTTTTCAACATAGTATTAAACAATGATACCATGTCATTGACGCTCTCCAATGTTTTGAAACGTGTCCAATTTAAAGACTTTAAATCTAATAGGAACTGTTCATTATCAATCGCATGCAAATTTCTACGCGATATAATAATCGGTTTCGGTTTCGGTTTTTTTATATTTAATTCGCAGCAAATAAATGCATGACCGCTTAGTTCCGGTATATGATTCACAGAAGTGGATGATTGTTGAATATCTGTACATACTAGATCTATTAAAGTTTCACTGTATTCCGTGAAGTGGGTAGGCTTAGTAACACACTGATTTAATTTATAACATTGTAAAAAAATTTTCAACTTCTTACAGTTATTATCCATATCATTTAATAAATTTATATTGAAATCGCCTAATAAAACTACATTATTACACCATGATAATGTTCCGATAGTTTCCGATAAAGCATCGAAAAAAATGTCAACACTCAACCACGGCGGTCTGTAAGCAGTACCAATTATTAATTTTGTACCGTTGACTGTTAGTGCAAGCCACATTTGCTCTACGAGTGGGGCTGGGGGGTGCGGTAGCGTGCGGACTGCAATGCCCTGACGTATGTAGAAGCCCACTCCACCTCCGCGCGAGCGCACGTCGGAAGGGCGAGGAACATGACGTAATCTATAACCGGGCACCGCAGGCGAGCGCCCCTCTTCGCCCTCTCGCAACCAGGTTTCATTAATCGCCATTATGTCGACAGAATAACGATCCATAGCTATGAGAAATTCGTCATGTCCTGTACCAAGCGATCCCACATTAAGCAAGCCTAACTTAAGATTATGTTTAGAATTGAATGAATGAGATAAAAGTCAAAAATACCATACTTGTGCAGCAACGTAGTGAGAAAAGATACCTACGATGAGTGCTCTTAAGATTATGATACGCTAATATACTTTTTATGAAGCTCAATGTTTTAAAAATATATACAATGTAATTAATCATCAATAGAATAGAATTATTATAACTTAAATATTTTCCCTTAAAATAACTGAAATATATAACTGTTTTAACACGAATTAATGGTTTTAATTGTAAATAATTATAAGTAAACATGAAAGTAGTAATTAGAAACTCGGCCCTTACCATCGTACCATCATAGACATAACAGCTGTAAATGTTTGTATACATAACATTATGAATGATTAAAAATATGGTTATAACAAATCTTAGTAGTAATAATTTTCTTGTAATGAATATATATAGACTTATATTGTTTACCTTATGCAGAGCTGCTAATGCAAACAATATTTGACTGAAAAACACGATTAAAGTCATCGTCTGTGCGGATGCAGTAAACCGGTTTGCCCTCTCTCTAATCATTATTATAAAATTTCAAATACACAATAATATAAATTTTCAAACATCAAATTGATCCTTGCAACAGAATACGGTAGTTTTCGTTCTAATAGAATCTTCTTTCTTCATAACCATCATCCATCTTTTTTATATCATCATCATCTTTTTTATATTTGGCTAGTATTGAATCATGAAAAACAATTAATTTCAATCAAAAAAAATATAAATCAATACTATACCGATATTTTTAGACAAAAATAATAACTACAACGGTGAGTTCCGCTTAAAATGCGAGGGAAGTAGTAAGTTCCATTATAGTTCACGGTGAGGCGCGATTGAAAACGTCACCGCACTTTGTTCGACCGGCGGAAATTTTTCGATAACATCGCCGCATTTTTTAAGATTGGAAAAAACAGTTTTTCCAAGAATTTTCTCATAACAATCGTTGGCCTTATCAAATGTAACGAATACCAGGATAGAATCAATACTATAAGCAACTTAACTTTTAAAAGCCATGTTGGTATTTTTCGGTTGAGTAAGTCCAAGTCAGTATCTCAAAATAATGTTCTACAAAGTATCGCCAATTGCCCTAACTTGCTAACAAGGCTAACGTCACAAGTTTAAACACTTTTAAACATTGTTTGTACACAAATCTGCAAGCTATATGAAATAACAGAGTAAAATTAAATTATTGCACTAGTAACTAATGTTAAATATGACTGACTACACGCTGTTAATAAATAGCTTATCGCGTATACAAATCGTTTTAAATCTTACTTTTGGATCACCCCTCTTATATATATATATATATATATATATATATATATATATATATATATATATATATACAGTGTGTTAGTGTAAACACCGTTATCCTTGAAACCAGTGGTTTGGTTTCACTTATAGAACGTAAATTCAATGAATTTAAAAAAAAATGCTATTTTCTTTCATAAAATTTAAAGTTTCTGTCCGACACCGTCCGTAAATTCATGGATACCCTATGCACCCGAGTGACGTAATCACTATAAAGATCACCGCCCGCACTAGCTACCCATGCAACATTCCAATAAAAACACAATAGGTACAAATAACCTGTGATGTAACTTTTCCTTCATACTGTCCTGGCTTAGGACAGGCAAAAATTGAGGAATTAAGGAAAAATTGAGATATTACTAAAAAAAATGTATTCATTTTTCATTGAATTTACGTTCTATAAGTGAAACCAAACCACTGGTTTCAAGGATAACGGTGTTTACCTGTACCCTGTATGTATATATATATGTATATATATATATATATATATATATATATATATATATACAGTCCCTGGCCAAATTATTAGACGCACTGCAAGATTTCATGTAAAATATTGATTACCGAGTGATATTGTACCGTTTTATTATTTTAAATTGATTTGTTTTTTATTTTTATATTATCCAATCAATTACCTATTTATTTGACATAAATAAAACAGCATTAATTTAGAAAAGAGTAAGTTTATTAAATTTTAAAGAAAACTGAAATTAATGCTAGTAAAAGTCAATATTTAGTTGAGCCACCTTTAGCCGCTATCAAAGCTTTAATTCTGCGCGGCATGCTATCAATGCAAGACTGTACTGTCTCCTGCATTTGAGGATGATGATTCCACACATAAATAATCTTTTCTAGGAGCTGGGTTTTGTTGGTAATCACATCTTTGCCACTTCTCTTTTCATCAGCTCCCACACACTTTTCAATGGGGTTCATATCAGGGCTATTACCGGGCCAATCCAACAGAGGGATATTTTTTTCTGCCAAAAAAGCTTTAACAGACCGAGCAGTGTGGCAGGGAGCTCCATCTTGCATGAAAGTGAATGGTTCCCCATTTGGAAACCATTCTCTGAGCTGCGGAATCAACCGATTTTCCAGTACTTCTTTATACTGATCTTGCCTCATTATTCCTTTGACGACGTACAGACGTCCAGTGCCCTTGCCGCTGATGGCTGACCAAATCATCACTTTGGTGGGATATTTAACCGTCGGGACGACACAATCAGGATGAAACTTTTCTCCATGACGACGACGCACATACTGAGCTTTATTTTGTAAAATTTCGAATGTGCTTTCGTCACTGAAGCAGACCTGTCAAAAATAGGAAAAAATATATAAACTTCCATGTTTATTTGCTTTATTTAACTGAAAATGATAACAATGTATCAATTTTTGATTAAATTGCTGTATCTTACCGATCTCCAGAAGTCCACATCTTTGTCTTGCCATTGTTTGGCCCACTTCAGGCGCTTTGCTTTCATTGCAGCTGTTAACTTGGGCTTCCTGGCGGGGCGACAAGCCTTGAAATCTAATTCTTTCAATTTTCTTCGAACAGTGCGCTCAGAAGCATTTACGCTAGCATCCTGGAGTTGTGATTTTATTACCTTTGTGGTAGCAAATCTGTTTTGTAGACAATTTTTCTTCAAACATCTCTCTGACCGTGGAGTGAAAATTGGTTTTCTACCGCATCTTTTCTTTCTTTTCGGGCTTAATTCCTCCCCTGACTCAATTTTCTTTTTTATGCGTCGTACACTACATTCAGAAACCTTCAATCTTCGTGATATTTCTCGGTTTGTAAATGTTTTCGCAATCACAAGGGCCTTCACTTCAGCTTTTTTACGTGGTGAAAGATCGCATTTTCTACCCATAATGAAAATAATCCAATTACTTTTTTAAAACACTGCATACAAAATAAACTAATAACTGAGTAGTATAAAACTGTTAAACAAACAATCACTGTCCATAAAGCCACAAAAACACGTTCGTACCTGATTCGATTCCGATCGCGACTGATACAGATTTGTACTTGTTTACGTTCATGTATCACTTTGTCAACACAGTGTTGCCATATGTTAAAAATAAATACAAATATGTAGTCTACAACAATTCTTTTAAATAAAAATCAATAATATTGTAGTTTAAATATACCATTATTGCATAAAAACTCTTAAGAAACATAAAATTACTAAAAAAATACAGTGCGTCTAATAATTTGGCCAGGGACTGTATATATATATATGTATCAAGTGTCGTTCTGACTAATAACCAAAACCAAAATAACCCGACAATTCGATATTACAACAGCAACTGGCGTCAAAGCGTTCACAACCATTATTTCTATTATTAATACATTCGTTATAATTATCAATATATGAAGTCTACTTGAGACGTTAGTTTCACTAACAAGCGCTTAGGAGCCATTCAATTACGTAAAGATGATTTTGGCGATTTTTGACCCCTGACCCTCGGGAACCCTACGTAATTAATGAATGGCCCCTTAATACATTATTTAACCTTATGTGACTTTTAAAATTGCATTATTCTAAATAGAAAACGGTGATGGAGTAACAATCAAATCTTTTAGTGACGAGAGATCATTTGACCAATTTATGACTTACCACAGACCACCAATTTTTAGATATAATATACATTATAGTAAGGCTGATTGTTAAGTTTGTTCTATAAAAGAACCCATCCTTGATTTGGTCAATCCTGCAAAATTGCATTACATCATAAGCAGGAGTGTTATCAGACCTGGGCTCGCGCATCGACGTCTCGGGATGTAAATACCAGCGTTCTTAAAAAAAACTATAATTCTGCTTCCAAGACCTTCAAAAGTGTCAATGTCAAGGCAAAGTAAGAGCACATCGGCAGAATTGGCGAGGAACTAGTTCGCCTTCCTTCGGGAACACATGCATTCTGGTCTCTCGCCAAGGCTGTGCAAGGAAATTCTGCCAGTCATCTTTTCCATCTCTGCACATGGAGGACGACTCACTGGCCCATGCCCCAAAGGACAAAGCCGATCTACTGGGCTGTCTCTTTGCGTCCAACTCGACTCTTGATGACGGGGGGAACACACCGCCGACCATACCGCAGTGTGAGTGCTCCATGCGGGATGTGCTGATTACCCAACGCTCGGTTCGCAGAGCACTCCTCTCCCTGGACTTCAACAAGTCGAGTGGGCCTGATGGCGTCCCTCCTATTGTGCTGAAGACGTGTGTTCCGGAGTTGGCACCGGTTTTAACGCGTCTTTTCCAATACTCCTACTCCCTAGACGTAGTTCCGATATCATATATCAAGACAGCTTTCGTGCACCTGATCTCTAAAAAAAGGTAACCGCTCTGATCCGTCCAACTATAGGCCTATCGCCATCACCTCCTTGTTCTCCAAAACAATGAAGTCCATTATAAACTACTACATCATAAGGTAACTTGAGGATCACCAGCTGATTAGTGATCACCAATACGGTTATCGTCGTGGTCCAGCAGCTGGTAATCTTCTGGTCTACCTGACTCATAGATGGGCGATCAGTAAAATCCAAGGGGGAGGCATTGGCCGTTAATTCGGACATTGCTAAGGCCTTCGATCGGGTTTGGCACAAAGCGCTTCTTTCGAAGCTCTTCCTATGGGCTTCCCGAGAAATTGTGCAATTGGATCACCAGCTTTCCTGCAGATCGGAGCATCAAGGTCGTAGTAGACGGTGCATGCTCCGATTACAAGCTCATTAACGCTGGTGTTTCACAAGGCTGCGTGCTATCACCAACGCTGTTTCTTCTGCATATCAATGACATGTTGCAAACCGGTAACATTCATTGCTATGTAGACGACAGCACTGGTGATGCTTTATACACCGGCCGTGCCAATATTTCTCAGGAAAACGTCTCCGAGTACCGGGACAAACTTGTGTCTGAATTCGAGACTTTGTTGAACAAAATCTCAGACTAGGGGCGACTAAATCTAGTCCAGTTTAACCCTCAAAAGACACAAGTTTGTGCGTTAACCGCTAAAAAGAACCCCTTTGCCGTATCTCCAGAGTTTCAAGGCCTCCAAGGAATCCTCGGCGTCGACATATCGAGGGACGTGCAGTTTCATGGTCACTTGGAAGAGAAGGCCAAATTGGCCTCTAAAAAGCTTGGTGTGGACAGCAAAGCGGGAGAGTATTTCATGCCGGCACACCACCTGCAACTTTACAAGGCGCAGAGTCGGCCGCACATGGAATACTGTTCCCATCTCTGGGCCGGGGCTACCCAGTGCCAGCTCCTTCTATTTGATGGCATCCAGCACAGAGCAGTTCGAATTGTCGGCGACCGAGCTCTTTCCGATGGGCTTGACTCACTGGCACTGCGAAGAGATGTTGCATCTCTGCGTATTTTATCGCATCTACCACGGGGCGTGCTCTGAGGAATTGTTTGGACTAACTCCAGCCGCACAATTTCACCATCATACATCGCGACAAAACACGCGATACCATCCATTCCATCTGGATGATTGGCGGTCCACCACTAAGCGATTTAAAAGAAGTTTTCTTCCTCGCACAACTTCCTTGAGGAATCAACTACCACCAGAGATTTTTCCGGACCGATACGACATAGGGACCTTCAAGAAAAGAGCCCATTCCTTCTTAAAAGGCCGGCAATGCATCTGCAATCCCCCTGGTGTTGCATTGTTGTTCATGGGCTGCGGTAAACACACCATCAGGTGAGCCGTATGCCCGTTTGCCCCTCTCCTATAAAAAAAAATAAAACACAGCAATATGAATGTGTGACAATAGTAAAGTCAATACCTTTTATCGTAAACTTTATCGCTAGTAATCGCAAACCGAGAATCATCTCCAAAAATATTTGATACTGTATTTTATAATTGCAAGAATTGTACGATGCCTTCGCGGACAATTTTGGGTGCCTACTAAGTTTGAGACCGATATATTAGAACATAACTAATAACGTTATCAAATATCATATGATGTCGATAAACCTAAGAACATAACCGTTATCACATATCTAACCAAAACCAACTATCTATTATCTAACCAACGTACGAAAACGAAACCGAAACGCATAACGCAAACTGCAACGATCTGCCAAAACGGCCCACGGACTAACCGATGTCCTCCGTTGCTTCTCGTTCTTACAACGATATCATAAATAACTATAGAAAGAGATGAAGCGAATATGACTTTTGTTGCGATGTTTTAGTAGTTATTACACAACGGTGCACATCGCGAAATATACCTAGAGCTATAAGGTTGAATTTTAAATGGTTAAAATTGCCTAAATTTTAAGTTTGTGTATTTGTGAGAGTTATCAGAGTTTAAATTATCTTTAAGTCACTAGACACAAGGCTTAGATTTGTATGATCATATTATATTTCTTTTATATGTTGGATGGAAAGTTTTGAATTTGCATTTTTTTTTTCAAAACGCAACAATTACGCACTCGACCATGGCGGCGCGTGCCGTCAGCCGTTCTCTAAGATATTATCGATAAAAATTATAATTTTTGACGTTGCGTTCGTGTATTTATTAGCAATATTTTTGTGCATTTTGTACATTAGTTTTAATTCAGACAATTACTACTACAAACACAATTACTATACTCTCTTTATCATTTTGATAAAAAAGACAATTCCTTGTATCTTGCATATTGTAAATATTGTCAACAAACGTTGTCCTATAAATGTACGACTGGGAACTTAAGTTCTAACTCAAGAAAATTTTCTGCTAATTCTAGGCATAGTTAAGCATGAAGAATAAGCGCCAACTTAAATAATCATTAATAAATAAACTACCTTCAATAATCTAAGTAAATCGTAAAATAAATATTTTGCACTGCTTTTACAATTTACGGTTATATTTCGGTTGTCGTTTGCGCATTCAGTAGCAAACGGAAAAGTCAATATCGGATATGTAACCATTGTAGCTAAAACCTAAAAACGCTCATGTTTAGTGCCTACTGTGCGCCGCTTATTTAAATGTAAAATCAATATCTTTTATCGTCAATTTTATCGCTATATTCGCAAACCGACAATCAAATCCGAAAATATTTTACTCTTTCTATTCTATTCACCTTAAGGGAGCACCGTTTATGAATCACTGACGTGGGAAACAAAATATTGTACCAAAATACAATACTGTACCATAGCGGGCTGTTTTAAAGTGAATTCTTTAGGCTAATGATGCAATTATTTGTGTTTGTTAAAGCTTGAGACGATTAAGCAAACAAAGCGGCTATCAATTTAGCATAAATCTACACTAAGTACAAAAATAAACAACACTCGAACAAAATATTACGTCTTGTGAATACTAACAAGTTACCCGCTGGGCAAACCAATATAATAACTACTTACAATGAATCGAAATCGTGTTTGGCGAATATATAAGTGTTCATTACTCATTTATATCTATGGGAATGAGGTGATCGCTACCAAACTATTTCTTATTTGATTTGTGTTGTTAATTACTGTGTAAATTTAATGATTGTAAACTGTTTTTTTTTTAAGTACCGTTGGATTTCTTTCTGGTTCTTCCCAGGACAGAGGTATTATCCGAACCAGTGGTAAGTTAAACATATGAATAACTTCCAAT